ACGAAAACCATCGCAAACAGCTCTTCGCCCATCGCCACAGTGGCTCTTCGATCTTCTTCCGCTCTTCCTCCTCTTGCTTGCGCTTGTCGCGCCTGGGAGACAGCGCTCGGCAAACACCGTTCACTGCAGAGGATCGCCGGTCCGATCTCCCGTCTTGCCGTATTGTTCTGCCCGTTTGGAAGCAAAACCACGGCCAGTCCGACTAGGAAGCGGCGGAAGGAGGATCCGGTGGCAAAAACTCCCCTAGGACTTCTGTCCCATCTCTTCAGAAGGTGGTTATAGACCCTACGGCCAGACAAAAACTGCATCGCTTTGTTCGACACCTTGGAAGAAGGACACTAGACCCGTGGCCTCCCTATTGAAACACATATTATCTAATTGCATTGTTCCAAACCACTCGTGTTCGGGTCACTATGAAGTTGAGCTTTTTGAAACATGTGCGTACAGAGTGGTTCGAGGCTCGCTTCTGAACCCCAAACGATCCAAGTGGTGGGCAAAGAAATGACCCATGAAAACAAAAAGACAACATTCATGTACCTGGACCCTCCAACAGGCGTTGACAACAGGTGACAACAGGTGCCCAGAAAGAAAACCTGTTAGGCTTCTAAAGCCACCGTACTTCAAAGGTCCTGGTAGCTATAATCTATAGACCTTTTTGTTTTTGGCGCCATGGTTTGAATCGTTGGAGTTCGGTGCGCTGATCGCTTCAGTTCCATTTCTCCTACAAGTCTCTTGGCATCGTACAGGACTGGTGACATCTTTCACTGGTGATGCTCTGATTCGCTAGGTTTGCCACATCCTGTTGACATCCGAGAGTCTGAGAGGATGGTGATTGCATGTTGTTGCAGGGACAAGTTGGACGAACACATTGGGAATGCAAAGAAAACAAAGCACAGCCTGGAGCTCTAAAGCTGTAGGTCACGTGCCCAGGCACGGTCACGCATCGTCAGCTTCTGTCAGCTTCGCATTCAACGTTCTTTCAAACAAACATCACGGTCTGCAGCTGTAGGTAGGTGTTCTCCGATGCGTTCCATTCTTCAAGGCTTCCGTGAAAAACGTGCTTTCATCCCAAAAAAAGCACACCAACGGGGCCAGGTTCTGCTGCCAAGTCTCAAAACCTCCTCTACCACTGCGCCAGGTTCTGAGATGCGTCGTTGAAATGGGGACGATGGATGCGAAAGACCGTCCAAGCATCATCACCCAGTAAAACCTGGTGCAACTTACATTCTGAAGTAGCGTTTTTGTACGACCATGTCCAGTACAATGAGGTCCTTGACCTGTAGGGTAATGATGCTTGGATTCTTGAAGACCGCATGGAAGACGATTCCTTAAGGACCCAAGTACCTTCTCAGAAGGTGCTGGGACACTGTTATACAATTATACAGGCGCCATACTTTCGGGTCCAGTCGTACCGAACCTGAGGTACGGTAGCTTCCTGGATCCGGCATGGTCACTGATTGAACATGATTGAACCATAATTTGACACTCCCGATTGAATCATCATGGTTACCCTCCCTGCAATCATGGAAGTGGAGTTCACCTCCTCTTGGAGGTGCACGGAACGCGCCATCCAGTTCCGTTTCAGCGTGGCACAACGACCGCCTCGAAAGGGTCTTCCCAGTCCAAACGCAGCGCTCCGCTCCGCTCGTCTCTTTCGGGGCCCTATTTAGTCGGATGATGGTCTCACCACCGAGACCGAGTCGAATCGGTTGGGAGAGGAGTCGGTTTGGAACAAGTGGACACAGAGCACAGAGCTGTTCTTCTCGCACAGAGCTTGGGATCTGACACAATTGGAGTGCCCAGAAGTTCTGCATGTTCACATCTGCATGTTCAGAAGCCAAGTAAGTGGGTGCAAGATCCAGGTATACACATCCTAGGAATCCACTGCCACCGAAACGAAACGAAGGTACGACTGGACCCGAAAGTATGGCGCCTACATAAAAGTGTCAACACACATCACCTTCTCAGAGTATGGCAGTGGATCCAATGTTTAATCATCATGTTTATAACTATTTATAGCCCATATTGGTGGGAACATGCAGTCAGTCTGTCCAGCCAAAAATCCATCTGTCCAAGGCAGTACGTTGTTTGGGCCTGCCTACCAGTATATCTTGAAGTCAGGGCCAGGGGCTTGTTTTCTCGTAACTCTGGGTCAGCTCACCTAGTTTGCGGGGTACCATAATACCTTAGGTGAACATCGAAAGCACACATCCCCTAGCTCATGGTGTTCATGTGTTTCATTTTTGTGAGTGCTTCAATTGACCGTGTCTATCTCTGCTGTTGGTGCCTCAACATCAAAAAAGCACCCAACAAGAGCGGAAGCCGGAAGCAAAAGCCAGGCACCAACACCAAATCCCAACCTCCACTCGCGTTTCAGATCTCGTCCAGGCCTTTCTTTTCTCGCACACGATGTGTTCCAAAAGAACGCGACCCGAATCAAAGCTCACGCACCGGGAGTCACGGTGCAGTCACGGGATCGCCGGAGTGGTACGAGGGCCCCTGGATTCGGTATGCCACGGGGACCCAAAACACCACCCAACTCCAATGCGATTCCTGGCACCCTCTGAGTCAGACAAAAGGAACGACTGGTGGGCGAGAAATCGTCGGAGGCTATATACCTGGATCTTCCACCTCTGTCTGTCTGCCTTTGGGATCCTTTTGGCTGGTTTTTATGGACGAAGAAGGCAGACCTGTTGCCACAGTTGGAAGATCCCAGGGTACGACGCGACACATCGCGACACCATCGCCACGCCGCGCCTTTTGCGCGGTGACACTGGTGCCCTTCGGATGACCGGTGCCCTTCGAGCTCCACGTGTCCAGCATGTTCCACCTCCCACCCGGTGGGTCTCTTCGACCGCCCGAGCGGCCATCTGGGACGTTGGGCATCGAGGGGTCATCGCCCTCGACGGTCGCGGTGAGCCCCAGCTGCCCGGGCAAAGCCTGCAGCTGGGCGCTCATGCGGCGGCCAGCACCTCGGTAGTGCGAAGAAGGTGCCAGGCGAGGGGCGAACCTGGTGTGATGCCATGATGGTGCTTGCCAAAAAGAACAAGTTGTATCTTTAAAAAACATACAAATTACAAATCACTATATAAGTAGCTTCTAGCTACTAGTGGCGATGGCCTCCAACTTAATAGCGATGGCCTCCACCTAGTAGCTTCTTACTAGCCGCTGGAGAACAGGGCTTGGGAGGAGTGATGATCAAAGGGGCATGAAGACAGAAGGACATGTCGGCAGAATGAGGAGTAAACCTCCACGCCTGGATATGAGGCAACTGGGCCTGGAAGTGGCATGGATGCATATGGATGCTATCCATTAAAGTGAAACAGCGTATTCTCTCCAGCCCAACGCATGGCCCGAATGATGAACCAACATCTACCACAGACTTGTGAACATTTTCCACACACACACACACACCCCTCCACATCAAAAGAAACACTCCGTGTCTGAACCGCCCCTCAGTCAAGCCGACCAGAGCTTGACTGATCTTGTAGCATGGCACGCCACTAGGTTGGAGGCCAACGCTACTAGTAACAAGAAGCTGCTAGTAGCTCCTGGCACTACCATCGAACCTGGACTCCGAATGCGTCTCCGTTTCTGCCAACGGTACCACGGATCCGAGACGTGGTCGGACCAGCTCAGTTCGGATCCGGCGTTGTCGTAGCTCGCCAGGTGCCAATCCATTTGGACGTTCCCTACGATTGAGCCTATACCAGCAGTCACAATACAGGGTGCGATCCATGGAGGTTAGGGGTGCCCAGAACATCCACTCACTTAGGGACTAAACACCACCCCTTTGTGACTCCTGGTAGTTACTAGTTGTTCCAGTGGTTTCTCCAGTCCAAAGAAGGTCCTTTTTCAATGAAACACTCGTGACGGGCGACCAATCATGACACCCGCAGGTGCAGGTCGGCGCTGCTGACTGACCTCACCTAACCGCCCAAACTGAAGCCAACCTTTCCTGCACGTTCCTGCCAAAGCACTGATAGCTGCCATCGTGGACTAAGTCGCTGCTTCAGCGGCTGCTGATCAGTGCCGGAAAACGTAAGAATGTTTGCCAAAAAATCACGTGCTGTGTGGATAGGTAGCCTGGGGTAGCGGCTGCTGAAGGGCCTCCTTGACCCATTTGGGTTCCTTGTTGTCTTCACATCTGCATTGATCCTTGCTTTGAGCCTCGCGTCGAAGTGAACCTGTTCGGAATTGCCCACTGCATATCTCCAGGAGCGACCCGAATGAGGACAGGAAAGCTTGTTGAGGAAAGGCTTCTGTCCGGATCACGGTTCTTCGAGCCGGTTCTTCCGAAGTGTTCTACGACTGGCGAACTGGTGAACCGATTCCAACCGCTAAACTCGAATCCAACGGTGAGTTCCCATGAGGTGATTCCAGTTCGAAGTCCAACTGGGGGATTTACTCAAGTCTGTAATGATATAAATCGAAACCTCAACAGCTAACAACAACGACAAGCGCTTTGTCTGTACCAAATGTCAAAGTGTCGTCTGTGTTTTGTATATTACATTAATTTCATGATACCGAGATTTGCAAGTAGAGTTGGTCTTGTAGCCTTTGGATACGCGCCATGGGAGGATTCTCATGGCGCCACTCGTGACAAAATAGGGAACCTCCAACTCCGGTATCCCGTTCGAAATCGCCCTTTGGTCTTTGGATCTGGATCCAGTTCAGGCAACTGGTTTCGGAACACATGCACAGATCCGGTTCGTGTCAGTTCGTGTCAACTTGGCAGATCCGTCAGAAGAGCTCAGTCAAGTAGCTGATCGGTCAGGGTTCCTGACTGGGACCCTGAACTACGAACTGAAGCGAAAAAAGCTGGTATATATATATATATATATACCTACATCTTCCAACTCTGCCAAATGTCCGCCCTTTTGCCTGTGTCTTTTGTTGATGAAAAGGCAGAAGATCCAGGTATGAACATCTGTTTTCCTGGTTCACTCGGATTCACTGAGTGGCTTTAATCCACAGATCCGCCCCAGCTACATTGGCGCCTGCGCCCGGAGCAGCAATAAATCGCCTGGCTCCCAACCTTCTGCAGGCACCTCCACCTGCACGGCATCCGTTGTGAAACATGGCGTCCCTGAAGAAAAACGGCACTTCTCTAAACTCGTCAAACAATATTTTGTCAATTGTTTTGTGTTGTCCTAATAGTGACACAGAAAAAACGGAAGCACAAGTAGTATCATGGATATTTTGGCCCACTCCCCATCCCTGTTCATTCTCCTAAGGGGTGATGTACAAAGGAACCAATCAACAAATCGATCTGACAGCTGACCAGGCTGACCAGAAACACCACAACGACTGCTGCGTCGTTCGTCTGTTCCTGCGTAGGATTCCAAATTGGCCACAGACCAGGCACCAGCATCACCAGCTCAGCAAGGATACACTCAAGAGATATTAAGATTGGCACAATTGATCCAATTTGGTATGATATTCAAAAGCACAGCCAATAACAATATGAATGGTAACAACAGAAGCAGCAATAATAATTTGACAAACAATGATAATTTGGATAGATATCAAAGGAATCCAAACCAAATAAACCGATCTGTGACCGATGCCATCCAAAATGATTCAATGCCCTCACAATATTATACAATGATACACTGTATTATACACAACATTACGTCTTATTATACACAATATTATACAATTTGTATTATTCGGACCTTTGGGTTCCAATAATAGTGAATTGTGGTGTCCATTTGTATCCTTTTACTGACGGTTTGTTGAGTATATGATGTGTTCACATTCAGCAATAATGTATATTTGGGATTGCTTACTCACAAACGACCAGAACACACATCTTTAGATGCCATTATAACGATTATAGTATTCAGACCAAATGACTTGTTTTTTTCTCCAGATTGTTGTATTTTCTGTCAATCTGTGGCATTTGTGTTACTATTAATATTCTTTGCTATACAAAGTTCATATTTTTTCACCAAACTTTTGGGCCCCGCAAACGAGAAAGGTGTGGTGCAATTGCCTCCAAACAGACTTATCAAACACCACCTGTCTGGGACTGGCATCATAGTAGTATACATATTATTACATACATATTATTTAGGATGCTTGAAAACAAGGTTAATGTAGGTCCATACAGGGAATGTCTTTGATTTGGAATCCCTTACACCACCTTTTGGAATCCCTCGACCAAGTGAAGATCCTGAAGCCAAGACAACCCACACAGCCACTTGATCATAGTTCCATTCTCATCATTCTTCCAGTGGACACCCCCACCTCAAAACCTCGCATGGATCTCTTGGATGACACGACCGGCGTGCCGCTTTTTCGCGTCCCGCCGTGACGCGGACGCGAATCGGTGAGACGTGATGCCAACCGTTTCCGCGGCAGTCCGGTGAGTCGACGGGAGGCGACTGAAAAATGGAAGCCACTCATCAAAGAACTTGTCCTACTTTTATACCAGCACCGAAACCAACAGGTCTCCGAAGGCTTGAGGCTTTTGTAGACTTTTTCAAGTCGCAGGTGGTGACCGAACTTGGAAGGTCCTGGTATATATCATATATATCTTTATGACTATCTTTATATGATATCATAAGTATAGGACCGCTAACTCGGTTGTATGAGGGTTTTTCCTTAAGACATCTTAAGACCAAAGAAACCACCACCAAATGAATATGGATAAAAAACCAAACACAACAGACAGCCCAAACAAAAATAACACCCAATTGAGTCGATCTGTGCCTACCGTGCCCAATCCCACAACCAGTTTTGGTAGACCTTCTATATGCAGGTGGATACCACCTTCTCCAGAAGTACGAACCTCCAATGGTTACCATGAGACACAGATCTCGAACCTAGCTGCATCAACCCGAACAGAAAGAAAAACCTCTTCGATCATCCATAGGACTCAAATTTGATTCAACCAAAAAAAACAACTCACAGCCGAACCGGGGACACTGGTTCCTGGCATCTACCCGCGACCTGGCTCGCGCGCGACCCGTCTGCCGTCCAGACTCCTTGACGGAGCCGTTGCTCCATGAAAAAAACACCGACTCGCCCAATCGGGGCGCAGCGATGTTTTTGTTGGGCTCCGCGGCCAGCGGAAACCCTTCGCGGTGTCCGAAGGAACGCAAATACGACCGTGGCCGTGAACGATCTTGGCCGGCATGTTCGGATTCTTAGGCACATCTATAGAGCTCAGGACGGACGTGTTGAGGGGGATGAAGTGATCCTGGCCTAGGATGAGTACCTGGAGCGAACGCATGATGCGAACACATGATACATCACCCAGACACGACCTGTCTGGGACTGCCATAGGACTGCCGATCAGGCCAGGGGTGGTTTTGGGGGTCAATGTAGGCATATATGGCAGTCCCATGGAGTGTCTGGGTCATACATCTCGATGTTTCATAATTTTTCATGTGGGGCGCCGTCAGCGCGGTCAGCAGACTGAAGGCTCTCCCGTTCTTCGTTGCTCTCCTTCACCCGGCTCTCAGAAGTCGAAGAAAGGTGTGAAGATGCCACGACGGTGCTGTCGCCCCCCCAACTCATCGCTATCGGGACTGCCATGAGCTGGTGGGCTAGGACGAGCTGGCGTACTTCGAAGATATTGGTGCGTTGATTTCAGCCCTTCCATATACACAATGGGAATTGTCCATGGGATTTGGATACTGGATACTCCCAGCAGAATCGCATCGAAAGGGCGCTCCAGTCGAATCCTCGACGTAGGATCGATCGGTGAAAGTCTAACCCCCGAGGACCCTTGGGCCATCCCGGGCCGCCGGGCGTGATGTTGGGCCTTTCTATGGATAGGAGCGACCGGACGCTATGAGTAAGGGGCTCCTGGCATCGCTACGAACGGAGCAAGAAGCTAATAGAAACAAGAATTCAATAGAAATCAATATAATAGAATTAAAATCAAGCTAACTGCCATCCCGGGCCATGTTCGCCTTCACATGCCGTCCGAATTCGGGGCCGGATCCTGCCGGCTGGACCCATACACGCAGAAAAGCTCCGCTTTTGCATCGGGTGTCTCAAGATTCCCAGCTTGTTGAGCCAATTGCATGGGTGACTCTTTCAATCTCTTTCAGCTTGTTTCACCTGCACCCGATGAAAGAAAACCTCAGAAGGCACCTGGTGGTGGCTGAGAAAGAAACATGCGTTCACCGATTGTCATTGTGTGGTTGTTGAAAGCACAGCAGTTCATTGGCTGTTGAACCAATCAAGCATCTTTTGTTTCAAAAGACCTCAAACCATCTGACCATCGTGTAGTTGGGGAAGCACCGAAGCACAGCATCGCAATCAACAATACCCTACAGGTCAGCCTGGAATCATTGGGTCTGGATGTAGTCATACAAAAACACTACGAAGAAGGATGTAAGTTGGGCCTGGTTTGGATCTAGGTCACACACTGGACGTGCGTAGGGATGTAATAGCACCCTGTCCAAGAAGAATGGAAGAAAAACAGGTGAGCCACATGTGTCTTTGAGTATCTTTTAGTGATTTTAGATGATTCACTTCCCAGGAGGCCATTTCACTTCACAGGAGGCCTGTGTCGGCCGTTTCAGCAGTGGCGACCCCGCACTCATTAGCCCTACGGCGCAGCTATGTCTGGGTGTGGCGACCCCTTGCTTTCCCTATATTTGATGTTCATGAACCCCGAACCAGTCTAGGTTGACCTCCAACTCGTTTCTCCGTTTATGTTCTATGAGAACAAACCAAGGTACCCCAGTGTCAAGACCCACAGCCATGTGTCTCTTCTTGCTGACCCTTAGTTGTCCCCGGGGGCTGGGGTGGCCGAATAGGATAGAAAGAGCTTCGTCTGCGCCCAGATCAGGAGCTTGTGACTCCCGACCCCGGCTGTTGCAAACAGTGGATGATCCTGAAAGGAGCGCATCTGGAAAGAGACTCCCCCTTTGTCGCAGGTCGCTTCGGATGGATGGGTAGCTCTTTCAGCTTTGAGTCGCATTCCCAAGCCCCAAGAATCCAAGCTTATCTTCAAGATCGGTGTTTTACACTTTGACATATGACCCTGAAACCCTGAAAAACACCGTCGACAAACCATATCAGTTCAAGGTGTTCTTCCCTCGGCATCTTCTGAAAATCATGAGGTCAACCGGGCCTTGGCCTAAAATGAACTAGCCCTCTGTTCACCGTCGCAGGGTCGTCGACCAGGAGCAAAACATCTGAGGGTCCGATTAGCTTGTCCGATAGGTCCTTTCGCTTGTGCGAAATCGGGGAGACGTCTTTCAAATCATGGCGCAGCGCTGAGCTGAAAGACGCGCAGCGCTGAGCTGTCCCAACGCGGGGATCAGAGAGTGATTGCTTCCCGCTCTCCTGCCGAGAGAAGCATAGCTGGTGGCGCAAGACCACCCGCAAGAGTCACCAACGGGGTGGTGTTTACAGGAACCGAATAGCAAAAGGAACCAAATATAGCCGATGGCCTCCCCCCGAACGAGCCATGGCCTCCACCAGGAGTCGAGTTGGGTGGTAAGAGGCTCGTCCCATCCCGGGGCTGTGGATCTGATGATAGGTTATACCTAAATACCCTCCGTTCGGAACCGGCACGTTCTCTCTTGTGAATCCCGGAACACCGCATGTCCTCCATGCAAACCATCGGCCTGGTCTCCAGTTACAAACCATCCGAGAAGGGTCGTGTGGGTCGAAGAACTACGGTATTATCAATGGTATGCAGTATTCATTCTATTCGGCCCCAGGGTCCCAGAAACCATCAAAAACCATCCAACACCTCGTTCTCCCTAGCAAACAACAAGGTCTTTAAGTTTTAAAGATGTGAACACCTTTAATGTTTTCATGGGGAACTGAACTGAGGGCTGCTGGTACCTGGCTACCAGGCCACTGACCGAACTGGACCGACCGGTCCGAGGCGGTCACCCCCAATTGATAGGTCAGGCCGGTTGCATGGAAGGTCTGGGTATGGGAGGTAAGATAGATTAAGTTTTGACTGCCAAGACTCTTAACATGGGAGTCTTGATGATCTTGATGGACCCCGAAGTATTCGTTTGATCGCTTGTACATCCCTTAGCATTCACTGCCACCTTCATCAGAAGCTACGCCTGGA